TCTTTAAAAGTCGAATTTGTATAACCAAAATAAATCATTAAAAAAAAAAACTGTTCAAAAATATATTTCATGTATGTATATTTGCATTTATGTTCCTTCATGTTCTTTCCTCAACTATCCCATAATAATATCCATAGATGTAATTTCTAAAATATTATCCTTAATATTCATCAAATTTCTGTAAGTACCATATATTTCCATCACACTTCATCAGTATTTTTAAATTCGCGCCTATACAAACTCTACGCGTGACGTCATGCGCGTTGCCGTCCTATTTTTGACACTGTTGATATCCTACCTTTTATTTTTTATACCATGATTGCGCTCCACTTCTACTACTACTATTACTACTACTATTACTACTACTATTACTACTACTATTACTACTACTATTACTACTACTATTACTATTACTACTACTATTACTACTACTATTACTACTACTATTACTACTACTATTACTACTACTACTGTTTCTACTACTATTACTACTACTATTACTACTACTATTACTACTACTGTTTCTACTACTATTACTACTACTGCAACATTTTTTTTGTATTGTAGGTGTTCAAATATTGTATTGTAACTATTGTATTATTGGTATTAGTAATTAAATATATAATATCTAATAATAAAAAAAGCAATAAATCAAAAAAGTTATATCCCAACAAAATTTCAGTTTATTGCTTCAAATATTGGGAAAATTTGTAGGTACATTTAAGGCGATGCTGTCATGTTTTCGCAAATTAGTGGAATAGTCTGTACACATTTTACCTGGCTCTACGTAAATTGTGATTTAATATTCAGGTGTTCCGTGTATTAAAATGTCATTAAAACGTTCAACTATTTACCTGACAGTTTCCTGCGATACCAGTAATCCTTTCCTTTCATTATAAATCCTAGAAATACCAAATCTAAACAGTCAAATTACAGATAAAGGTAATATTTGAATAAAGGGTACCTATTTATAAATTATGCTCCTTCTCTCAAAGATTATATTGCTGGTAGGTATATATTATCCTAGCCAATAAATTATGCATTTTAAATGAACGCCCCTTTTAAGAAACACAGAAAGGACGAGGCATGGATTACATGGAGTTGTATGGACTGCCGTAAATCTTTACTAAATTTTGATAATTTGAAGGTAGGTACTATTACTTAAGTCAAAATTGTAAAATATTAGGAGAATCGTATGTATGGGATAGAAGATACATTCTATCTAGGAATGAAAGTACGTCATAGCCAATAGCACCCAAGAACATATTTGCGCATAGAAAAGTACTTGACAGTTTTTAACAATTTTGTTATTATTTGCTAGGCGATTTATTTAATAATCTAAAAAAAGGTTTAAGCGGAAATGATAATTGCAAATATAACGGTACAAAAACACCATATTTCCGTGTTTAAAAAGACAGTAACATCAAAAGCTTGCATTAATAGTGGCGTTTGCAGGTGTCAAAAGCAAAGCTTGCTTGGATAAAGTTCTGTCTTAGTAATATACAGAGATTTGATCATGTATTAGGATAGATACGCCACGCCTTACTCGTGGAAGTAGTGGGTTTAATGATTATCTAGACGGGGAGAGAGAGGAAAGGTACACAAACGGAAAACTTGGCAGTGCCGTACTGTATGGAAGGGGTTGTATATTGTTAATTACTATAAAATGCTAGATGAAAGCGGATGGACATGATTTTAATAGTATATTAAAGTATAAGTGGATATAACGGTCTTTAAAACACGCGCGATTTTTCGAGCACGACGGCGCAGCCGGAGTGCCAATAATTTTCTTGGGTACTGTGGCTGACTTGTGTTCTTTTATCACAGACATAAGATCTCCATAATGTAATTTTCACTCGAGTGAAAGTAACTTCAAAATGTCAGAATATGGTAAAGATTAACGGTGGTTCATAACTCCACGTAATCCGTGCCTAGTCCTTTAGAGAAATACAGAAATAGCAGTTTAGAGTTTGGAGTTGTACAGTATAATTTTTCTACGATCCACTAACGAAAATCTACAAATTTTAAAAATTATTTTTGTTTATTAAATTAAAACAAAATCAACATAAAAACAAAAGATTTAATTTGTCTCAGGCCCAGATTTGAACCCGTGCCTCTCGCATGGCAGCTAAACGTACTGGTCTCACCTCCATCGAGACACTTAGTATATTTTAGTTATAATACTCGTAATTAAATTGATTTCATATAATTTGATTAAGAATTTATTTATAAATATAGACGAAATAGAAATGATAAAATTTATCGATTCTACACAAGAATAATTCATTTTAATGTATATTTAATTTCAATAACTAAAAAATGTACTGACAATTAATTTGACAAAATTGTCACTTATTTAAAATTTTAAAAATAATAATAGTCGGGCGCCCAAAATATGAACTGTGATTAGTGGATTTCATTTTTTTTGCAGTGTTCTCACTACCTAGAATGGATATGAAATATATTCGTTCCGGTAAATGCAATAGCGTATTTTTTCGTTTTGTAGTATGTGCGTAGATAAGCTAATATCTATGTGGGTGTAGAAAAAAAAATGGTTTAATTTATCTAGTATATACCTGTTTTATATGTACAGTATGATGTTTAAAACTACTATAAAAACATAATTCACATAGTCGAATCAATCTATACCAAGAACCCGCTTAGGGCTCAGTATGGAAGATGTTACGAAACTTGTTATTATTGGAGTTTCGTAACATCTTCCAAACTGGGCATTGAACGGCAACAAACATCGGACTCTCGATTCTGCAGCATGGAAGACGAATTCGCAGAACACATTATATGTACCTGGCTCCGCTTTAAAAAAAAAAAGTAAATTCCAGATCTTCAGATTTACCTGACTGTCTACCGATTTTAAACAAATCTCACCCAATTGAAGCATGGCTTTTGCCAGTTCTCCCACTTCATACACAGGATTTGACAGTTATGCCGCGAAGCTAACCGAACATTTATTGCATTGTATTATCGATCATCTATGAAGTTGTAAAATAGTAAAAAAAATCGTGAACAAATATTTAGTAGAACAATAGAAAAATTTCATTGTATTTCTTACTATGACCTTCCTTCAGAGGCCTATAACTCAGTAATTAAGGCTTTCACAAACAAATAAATATTAAGCGGCAAACAAATTTCAAAACAGATGTATGATTTCAGTGACGTCCTGTTATTAACAGAATTTCACTGTCTAAAATAAGTAGGGGGTCAAACCCTTTTAAAAATAATTTTGAACGTCACTGGCTCCATTTTATTGGTCATTATACGTCTCATGTACATTTTCATAAAAATATGTTTAGCCGTTCTAGCGTAAGAGCAAAAAATAACTTCTAAAATTTCTACTTTAAGAGCCTGCGAGTTTGTTACTATCCATTTTTTACTTTCCTATCTGTATACAGATATAAGGAAAGTATAGGAATCATGATTTTTTTCGACCTCGAGTTTTCGACGGATTTTTACGTTTTGAGGTCCCCTGAATACGTTTTGACTATTTTCGCGATGATGTCTGTGTGTGTGTGTGTCTGTGTGTGTGTGTCTGTATAACGCATAACTCATGAACCGATACACAGAAAAACATCAAATTTTAAACTTAAGCTTTGTTTCAGCGTCCAATGAGCTGATTAGATTTTGGGCAGTGTCGGAACATCTGGGGGGGTACTTTATAGGTGGTCATTTTTATATTTTATGGAATATATCTGTTATTTACGTTTGGAGAAGAAATTTCTTCAAATAAAAGTTACTTCTAATATAATTATCTATAATTTTTGTTTTATGCAAAATTTTCCTAAAATGGTCCGTATTCGAGAAATTTGACAAAATGTAAAAACATAATTTTTTATAAAAATTGTTCAAATAAAAGTTGTTTGTAATATAATTCTCTATAATTTTTGTCCTATACATAATTTCTCTAAAATGGACCGGATTCGAGATATTTGAGAAAATGTGTAAATTTCGAAATTTGAAGAAAACTCAAAAACGGATAAAGGAAAAAACATTAAATTTTAAACTTAAGGTTTATTTCGGCCTGACGTGAAATGATTAGATTTTGGACAAAGTCGGAACATCTGGGGGGGTACTTTATGGGAGGCCGTTTTTATATTTTATGGAATATATCTGTTATTTATGTTTGGAGAAGAAAGTTGTTCAAATAAAAGTTACTTCTAATATTATTATCTATAATTTTTGCTTTATGTCAAAATTTCCTGAAATGGTCCGTATTCGAGAAATTTGACAAAATGTGCAAAATTCTGATTTTTATGAAAATTGTTGAACTAAAAGTTGTTTGCGATATCGATTTCTATAATTTTTGTTTATACATGATTTTTCTAAAATGGACCGTAATGGAAAAGTGCTCAATTAAAATTTTTCTGTATTTTCGTTTTCAATGAATATCTATAGAAAAATGTTTCGAGGTAGATGTATGTGTAAAATGTATATATTTAGTTTATCCTCTAAACATTTATAGAGATGCTGCAATAGGTTGTACAAAATAACCGGAAAATGCCTATAATAACTAGATAGGAAAGTCATGTGTTGGACACATCAGATTTTTTATGGAAGAAATTAAGCTTAAAGCGGCTTATTTTCGATTCCAGAAACTGTGGTTAAATTTACTGTACATATAATTTAATAGACTGCATACAGAAATTAAAAACAAGACATCAAGAAATGTATTCAAAAGTAACTTTAAAATTCAATACTTGATCAATAAACAGAATAGAAACAATTTCTTGTGATAATGTTCTTTAAACCAGCCCTTTTTAAGTATTTCTTTTAATTTATTGTTGTTATTTTACTCGTATTTATTATAAATTATTTCTGTATTTAGATTACGTATTTTATTTTTAAATTATTTGATGTTATATTAATAATACTATTTTTCTTTAAATTATTTTTATATTTTATTTTATATGTATATTTAACTACCAATATAAATTAGCAGTTACTAAATAAAGGAATAATATATAAATCTTTAGTTTTTAATAACTGTCATGACTGAAAATATGCATTTATATAATAAAAAAAGTAGCCTACGAAATAAAAATAAATTTCATTCAATAATATTTATTTCATACATTAACTTTGCTGTCTGTTATTGCCGCACCGCCATCACCTCCTCGGTCACTTCCATGATCACCTCCTCGTTCATTTCTATGATCACCTCCACGTTCACTTACATGATCACCTCCTCGTTCACTTCTATGATCACCTCCTCGTTCACTTCTATGATCACCTCCTCGTTCATTTGTATCATCATGAACATGATCACTATCATCAATAACACAACCGGGATGTATACAAGGACCGCCATCTTCATCATCTTCAGAGTCATATTCTTCGTCTTCACTTTTATCTTTCAAACATTCCATGCTAGGTACTTTGTAGTACTCTGAATTCTCATCCATCTTAATATCTCCTTTAACCAACTTCGTAAACCGTTTGTCCAACGATTTGAGTTGATGGAAATGCATCTTTGCCAAAGCGTGCTTGTTGAATACGTGGTTGACGAACTCCACTTCATACACGTCCTCCAGTTTGGCAACTCTGAGGTGAGCTTTCATTTCGTCCACTGTTAGAAGGATGCAGTTCCACGGTGACCAGTTTTCTTCTCGTATCCAACGTACCAGCCTAAAGGATCGTAATAGAAAGTTTAGAGGAATCTAGGTCTGTTAAATAAAAAAGTATACATTATTGGCGGCTTAACAACATGTACACTCCCCGGCACAAAATTCCGCCACCCTAAAATTTTTACCAAGTTTGATCTTTTATAACTTTTTTATGTTTTATCATAATTTTTTCCATCGCGCTGTAGATATACGAACCTGGGTCCGTTGTTGGTCCAGGTCCAAGCCAACAACGAGCCTAGGTTCGTCAGATTTGTAGGGCAAGGTTATGGAAGCAAAAATCAGCATACAGTAGATAATTAACATTAATTAAATGTCATTTATAAAAATATTAAACAAAAGCGGGCCAAGATTCGACCCTTGAGGGACACCCGATGTGGCAAGGTACTTAACAGACTTGAACCCATTGAGCTGAATGTATTGTGAACGGTAACAAAAATATGATTTTAGTAAGTTAATAAGACTATCTGAGAGTCCAAAAGCAGACAGTTTTTTTACTAAAATTCCATGGTCAAATTCTTTAGTCATATCTGTATAAATAATATCAGTCTGGAATACGTTTATTTATATTTTCTGCTATATGCTGAGTAATGACAGAGATTCGTTGAACGACCTTTCACAAATCCATGTTGTTGAATGGATAATGCACTGCTTATATGTTGATAAATACTGCGTTCCAGTAATATTTCTAATACTTTACAAAAATTGCAAATAATATAAATAGGTCGGTAGTTCTTAACGTCAGTTCGATTTCCATTTTTAAAAATCGGATATACTTTAGAGCTCTTCCACATGGACGGAATAGTACTAGAACGCCTCTGGTTAATTTTCCTCGACGTTTTCCCCGAATACATTTCCGCAACTTATGAAGTAATGCGGCATAATATGTGCCATTAACGGTGGTATTTGTCTCTTTAAAATCAATCAGAAGGATTCCTTCACAATCCCAAAAGATCGTAGTCATCACCTTTTTCGTTGATTGGCAGACTCTAAATTTTCGTGTGGGGGCTTCACCCTTACGGCGCCACTCCATTGATTCCCTTTTCGACAGAGGATCATAATAAAGAACCATAGTTTCATCTTCAGTGACTATTGTTTCCAACACGGGGTTCGGATCATCTCCACACAGTTCCAAAAACGATCGAGCACACTCGACACGACGTTGCTTCTGAATCGCCGAAAGGTGTTTGGGCACCCATCTTGCACTAACCTTATGCATACCCAAATGATCATGGAGGATTCGGCGAACAGTGGTATCAGAAAGCTTGGTCATTTCTGCCATTTCGTTGACCTTCAAACGTCGGTCACTTAGCACCAGGTTTTCCACAAGGGCCACTTTGTCCTCCGTTATCACCTCCACTGGCCGTCCAGGTCTTTCGTCATCTTCAAGGGATTCCTGACCCATGCGAAAACGTTTTGCCCATTCCTTCACTACCGAATAGCAAGGGGAACTTTGGCCATTACGCCATCGAGTCTTTCTTTAATAAATTTAGGTGTAAGCCCTTCTTTTGTTAAAAATTTAATGACCGCTCTGTACTCAATTTTCGTCACCTGAGACATTTTCGAAGATACTTTAGTTCAAAATGCTGACAATTAAAAACTATTTGACGTAAGTCGCTTATTTTGTTACCACAGCCTACTAAGATTTGTAGTTATAAAATGTTAAATTTTTATCCTGATAAAATATCTGCAACTATGTCAGGCCGGGAATTATTGGCGCTTACCTCGTAATTGTTAGGCTCTTTACCTCCTTAAACTACTAAGTTCTCACCTCAACTGATAAATATCATTACATTCAGATAAAGCGGAATGCCCATGCCATATCCTAACGACAATATGGTGTATATCTACGTCTTGTAAAATAAACGCCACAGAAGAAGCGGCTCGATGCAATCTTTCGTAGTTCCTGAGTTGTTTGAGGATAAAACGATGTGGTAGCAAATCAATCCAAGGCTCTTCGACCTTGTCCAACCATTTGCATTTGTTGCAAAATCGAAGCGTCTCCGTTCTGGCAGTTAATCTGTAACCGTCTATGGTCTTGAATTTGCGACATCTCGTGCAGAAAGTAAGTTTCTCTTCCATCTTTCGTTCTTGTATCATGAGCATGTGCCTGAAAAAAAAAAAGGAAAAATCGTAATTAAGCATTAGTTTTATTATTATGCTACTAAATGTACGTTAGATTATAATTTGAATGATGTCTGCTGCCACCTGATGATGACCCAACTACTGCGAAACGGATCGTTTGATAACTAGCCCCTTGAATGCGAAGCCAAAAGTTTAAACTTTGCACATGGAGGGTCAGCAGACATTTTTAATTATAATTTATTTATCTTCAGATTTTTAACATTTTTTATGCCATATTTTTAAACTGTGGCGTATCTTCTAAAAATAATGTACTATTTTAGCGTTTTTTGCGATTAAGAAATTAATTTATTACAATATTAAGTTGGCTTTGGCAAAACAACAAAATTTGACAGATGCAAACTGGAAAGGAGCCAACTTCAAAGAGTTATAACTCCTTAATGAAGCGTTTTCGAATTAAGGGTTTCGGTTTGGTAGGAGTGGAACAATCTGTATATTCCAAATAAATTGATAAAATTTAGTTACTTTGTTACATCCTCATTGCATTCAACCATCTTGAAGTGATGAATCACGCACGCCTCTATTCTTTTTTCCAACCCCCTCAAAAATTTGTCTTCGATTCCTCTAACCATCAACTGACAGGCCCTGTTGATTAAAGTGTTGAGTAGATCGCTGTCCTGACAATCGTGGTCGTTGATGTATTCCTTAATCTAGAAAAAGGTAATTAAATGAATTTCGTAAGATCCACTTTACAGTTCGTAATTTTTCTTCACTTTTATTGGTTGCTTAGATAATACATAAATTTTATAAATGTACATTTATGTATAGGGTGTTGCGCTAGGCATATAACATGAATATGACTCTTTTAAGGGCTTAGTTTCCCAGATATTTTAGAGGGAAAGCCCACTCACGCGACATGTCGCGCGCGACCTGCCGCATGCGATTTTTTAGGTGTGATTTTTAACAGACGACAAGCAGCGACACAGACGTTCAGTATCAAAATAGAGGTGGAAGAAGTAGTAACGGTGTTGTTTTATTCTGTTCGTCAAAAAATTGAAATGACGTAGGTTCTGGGTTCATCCATTATTTATAGACCCTTATGTAAAAGGCGCATTTAATTTATTACATAAGGATTTACGTTATCACGAAGATAAGTTCTTCAAATATTTCAGAATGAGAGAGTGTCATTTGACGAACTGCTAGCGCAGATTCCCGAACAAATATTGTTTTCGCTATTTTATTTCATTTAACTGTTCGATATTTGAGGTCGGTCTTGAATATCGGATATGCCAATATACCAATATATCAATACAACTGTCGGATATTTTTTCACTGGAACTGTCGAAAAGTTAACAGGAAACTCCAACTCTCAACTGGCGTTTCGCACGCGACTATTTTTTTTCAGCAATTTTAACTTACAATTTTTTTTTTAATAATTAATCGAACTAAAAAGTAAAAAATAAATATAGTTTAAAAAAACTAAAAAACACGCTTTTATAATACATCGAACTAAAAAGTGAAAAATAAATATAGTTTAAAAAACTAAAAAACACGCTTTTAGAGCATATCAAACTAAAAAGTTAAAAATAATTTTTTTAACACGCTTTTATTCAAATAAGCTTAAAACAATAACGTCTTTTGAAAAGTAGTTAGAATTAGTTTTGTCTGTTTTAATCTAAAATATATTTATTAATTTTTAATGTTTACCTCAGCATAGACATCTAGTTTTTCTTGCACTTTAAGATTTTTATCTACCAAATTTTTATACAGTGTAAAATATTTTCTGCCTCTTTGACATTCGAGTGTCTCCATGAAAATATGTAAGCTTTTGTAGGTACTGTACCAATCGATCGGTTTTCCTAAAATATAAAGAAAAAACATGTAAAATTCTAGGTGTAGATGTTTTTTCTAAAATTATCTTTCTGGTTTACAGGGTGGAGTTGTGGACTATATTTTTGACGAATATTTTAGAAAATCTGGTTGACAGATTGATTGTCGTGGAATGCATAATTTAAAATGATTGCTTCTGGTAACTGGTTTATTTTAATTTTATAAACTTTGTATTGAGTGATACTTTTACATGTAATTAAGTTCGACATATGTTGGTTTAAAAGATCTTTCTATATTTGTTTTAAAGTTACAATTGCGACCGGTTCGTTCTGAGATTTATTTTGTCTTGCTAGCTTGGAGGTTCGAATAGTTCTCTCTGGTTGAAAAATGTCTCGTTGCGTCGAGTTAAGAGTGTGGCCTTTACACTGTCTTGTGATTGCTTTAAAGAAATGGTGTGGTTTGACCAAGTTTGGCGTGGAGAGTGACAGAGTGATGTGTTACAAACTATTGAATAATTGTTTTCATTTATTTTAAACGGGCTTATGCAGGTGCGAGTGAAATAGGTCTGAGTGGCAGCGAATCGGAGCTTATCTTTATTTAAACGGATTTTTTCCACAAAGTGAAAAAGCAATAGATCTCGCCTAGTTAGTAACTAAGCCCCGTAAAATGTTTTTGAGCTTCATTTCCACAATATTGATATAAACAATCGTCCAAACTAACTTTATGCGGTACCTTCTCCTTAAGAACAAGAAGTTAAGGCAGTCAGAATCATTGGCGGGGGCTCCTGAAAGATGTCACCTCAGAGCTTTAACCACATAAATGTAACACTAGGTCAAATACTTAAACAAAAGCAATACAAAGAAAAAGGTTCTCGCTGCAAGTAACTTTAGAGAAGAAAAACCAAGATTAATTAGCTACACCGGAAAGCTAGTTCCTAGTCTGTGGAGTCTACTACAAAAGACCACACTAGCCAAAGTACTCTTAACAATAAATCTGAAAAGGTCGAGGTGGGACACAGTCCAAAACAAATCTGAAACCATTCTACTAAATTTGGCAAGAAGACGAAACAATTAATCATACTTTATTCCCCTGAAATGTCTTACCAATATTCCTAAAAAATCGTTCAATATACTTGTACTCCATATCTTTGGCCGCCTTGGTCCTCAAATTTTCGATACCCCTCAACATTTCGACCTCTTTCTCCAACAACAAATACAGCTCGGCTAATTTCGAAGCGCCGCAATACATAGAATTTATCCTGGCTATTTCACTCTTCTTCCACCTGTCCACCATAGTGAAAAGCATCGCGAAATCGGCGAGCGTCACCGGGAAAATTTTGCTAACCATGTCCTTTCTTCGCCTGTTGTCGTCTTCTTTCTGAGCCTGCTCTTCCAATTCTTGCGCTAGCCGCATCCGCTTTTGATATTCTTGGCTTAATTCTTTCAGAGCGACGCGCATCTTCCAAGCTCGGTAGTATCTGAAGAAATAAATGAGTTGTAAGCAACAGATTTTTAATAAATTGTTCAAAAAGCATTAAGCAATTTAAACAGGTATTGGACATGTGAAAGACTAGAGAAAAATAAATAACTGAAATTGTAAAGAGTATGTGTTCAAAAATGTGTCTTAGTTTGAGATGAAATGTGTACAAAAACCAACTGGTCTCGTTTTTAAGAGTCCGCTACCGGTAAATACTCCGCCAACTTTGACATATCCTGAAATTTCAGATCGAATCTAGGGGCGTGACAATGTGTCGAATCTCGAAAAAGGCATTCAACCCACATAGTAAACCCAATAGGAAATAAATTAATTGATACCTGGTAAATTATTTTTTTGGAGAGGTTAACAATGTTGTTAAATTTCAACTAATTATGATAAACTTGGTACCAAGTGAGAACTAAAGAATTGCCATTTTTTATCTTTCTAAATTAGAACTTGGTTCAAACCCCGTACTAAAGGTCTAGGCTTATTGTATCCCTGTCAGGTTAATATTCTTGATGTATTCAAGAAGATATCTGATGGGCGCTTTCGCTATAACCTGGATACTAGGAGAGTTGCTGCAGATCAATATTTTGACTCCGGTATCTTGAAAGATCACTTCTACCATGTTTCTAATGGTCCTCCAATATAGCTGGTTGCACTCAATCTTTGACATGGCTAGTTTCTGTACATTGGACTCAAAGACAAGGTCGGAAGTGTCTTGACGCTGGTTTACTGTTTCTTCTTGGTCATAGGCATTCTAAAATGACGTCAGCCGGTTTTGATGCATTATCTTAGGTATTCCGTTTAGCATCTTCCTTTTCTGATGAGGTCCATGCCTCTTAGCACGGGTATTACATTTCTTACATCACCGGAACTGTTCGTCCAACAAAACCTTTCACGAACTCTGAAAAGTTTTATTAACACCTAGATGACCTCCTGATGAATTGTCGTGTAACTGACGAAGTACTTCGGCTACTCTACTCTTTGGAATGACCTTGCGGAACCATCATCATTCTCTAGTACTCGCTTTAATAAGCCTTCCAGAATAAAACAGGCACACTGAACCAAATATGACTTAGTTACTAGAGAGAGTTTCGATACTTCTTGCAAAGTAGGTCGACGAGTTTATTCATCTTTTTATTGTCGCATATGCTCTAAAACGGGATCATTTTCTTGTTCTTCCCTAAATTTGACAGGGGCCCACTCATCGTTAACAACCGTTGTTCTTCGTACTGTAACTTATTTAGCAGATGCGGCCAACCTCATTCCAAACAGAGTTCCTTTACCAACACCTTCATTGCGTTTCGAAGGTTCCACCTTGACAGGCGTTCCTTGCCACTGCGTTATTCTTATGGTTTCACATCTTTTAGGCACCACCCTTCCTTCCTGTATAGGCACAGGCACGGTTTTTCGATTCGTACTGTTCTTCGGGTGTTTGCGTGAACTGCTTACATTTCCAGCACCTGATAGTCTTCGGCTGCTTCTCAATTGGTCGAATTTATTTCACTGTTCCTCCTCTTTTACAGTCCTTACCTCACTGTATCCACCGGAAGCCAGCGTAGCCGCTTCATATTCAAGAGCAGCGATCAATGTTTTGTAACGGGCTAAACGGAGTGATAGTTGGATTTCATGGAAACGAAGTCCATCATTTTTTCTAAAGCTGATAGGTAGGCAAATCGCACCATCTTCGCAATATCTAATTTATATTCTTGAAGGCTCTCGTCACGTTTCTATTTGCGATTCTTTAACTGTAATCGATACACCTGCACCAAGTGCTATTTTACATATTTAGTCTCTTTTTAAGTTGTTCAAAGTCATCAGTCTTTTCCACAGGTATAGTCTCAAGGATATCTAAAGCATCTCCTCGAAGGGCGATGATCAAATTTACTGTATTTTCTCTTTCAGACCATTAGTTTGCTCTTGCAGCTGTTTCGAACTGTTTAAGGTAGTTAATTCATGACATCTTCCCGTAGAGATTTAACACGGGCAGAATGTACAGTTCCTTCCAATTTCAGCTTTGACTCCACTTCATGGTATTTTATTTTACCACCCTTGGCATGTTCTGTATGGTCCATTTTTTCTATCTTATTTTCGAACTGTTTTATTTTCTCCTCAATGGAAGACATTGTTTTCTCCTCAATGGAAGTCATCTTATTTCCCACATCAGCAGAAAATTTATTTTTCAGAGAAGTCATTTTGTTTTCCAAGTCGGATGAAATTTACTTTTTTAAAGAAGAGATATATCAGAAGAAACTCTTAATTTCTAAAGAAGAGATTTCGTTTTCGTTCAGAAGACACCTTTTCTTCCATGGAAGAAATATTAGACGAAACTATACTTTCTAAGGGGGAACCATTTTTTATAGAGGAAACTTCTGAAAAAACTTTATTTTTCATGGAAGAAATGTCAGAAAAAAACTTTAGTGTCTACGGAAGAAAATTTACTTTCCCAAGAAGAAAATATAGCGCATCATCAGAAAATAGATACGTTTCCGGATCCAAATCTTTACTTGCTATTGCTTCTCTAAGCCGCTCTCCAGTTCTGCTTTCTTTCCTGTCGTCTCCAAATCACGATCCTCTAGTTCTCGATGCAAATCAGCCACTTTTAAATCACACAGTTTTTTAGCCATTTTTGTCCACTTCTGACATCAATGTAACGATTGTTTAATTTAAAAATAGTTTTTTTAAGATTATTTATAATTTATTTAATACTTATGCACCATTTATATTTCTAATTTATATAACATTGACTGTATCGATGTTCTCACTGCTATGACTCGACTTCGACTCACTGACTTCCTGTGCAACACAGCCCATTTATACAGAGTGTAACTAAATAAGTGTAAAACATTTAAGGGGGTGATTCCTCATCGAAAAAAAGATAGGATCTTTCATATAAAGAAACTTCATTGGAGCATCCCTTGTTAAGATACAGCCCCTTAAAGGGGGTATATAAAATTTGTTTAACAATTTTTTTCACAAGCACTAAACAAGTTACAATATTGAAATTAACCTGTAATTTTCTACTACCAAAAAGACACTTAGCCAGTAATTTATTTGGTTTACCCCATGGTTGTAAGGGGTGGAAAACGCAACCTCTAAAATTTCGTTCCAACGTAACTTTTTGTCTTATTATTTGTTTACCATTTAAAATTTTATTTCCGATAGCCTGTTTCATTCTAATCAAAAAATGCCCAAAATAAACCAGGCTATCGGAAATAGTAAACAAAAAATCAGAGACCTTTGCAGGATAGACGATTGACTAGCCGGTAGCGGACTCTTAAGTTTTGAAAATCTTATTATACTTCAATTCGTACAGGTATATACAAAATTATTTAGTAGATTTAAATTATATTTTAAACGATATTATCCCAACATTCAGTGATTTTAATTTTTAAGCAATCTTTGCTAGAATTTAGAAAATATTTCCACAAAGTAGGCAGTATTTTGTACAAAAAGGATCCGTACTATTAGCATTTGTAATCCCAGAAATGAAAGAAACTGACCCTGTATACTCTCGATGAAGGATGGATTAAAAAAGAAGAGGAACAACATCTCTTCATAAAAGTTTTTGCTGCTTTCCAAATAGAAGTTGAATAACTTTAATGAAATAATAACAAAATGTAAAAAAGTGACGCTTTGTTTTAAATTTTCGTTTCATTTCGATTTCTTGGAATGCGCCAGAGCCGGCTTTAGCGTTTAAATGCGAACCTTTATACCTATATAAATAACACACGACTCAAATAATTAGATTAAAACATTATTTTTCTCAGTTTTGTGATGTACTTATGTACCTTTGTATAGTTCTGACTTTTCCTTTTACGTCCAAACGTTTCTCCCTTTCATCGGCCGTTTCGTAAGGTCCCGGGGTCAAAATTTTATCCGTTACACACGGTATATATAGTTCCCGAGTCGCCATTTGCGTGGCTTGCGAATATGCCATTCCTAGCAGTCTATTTCTCAAAATGAAAGTTTGAGTATCTCGGGTGAGTTGTTGGTCGGGTGGTACTTTTGGAGGCGGTGGACCGGTTTGGGAGTAACCGTGAAAGTATTTCACACCTGAAAATAGGATAATAAAATTAATAAAAGTGTAATATGAAATATTTTTCCCAAAGTTGTTGCAGCTGACCGTTACTGAGATCTCTGAGAAGAGTTTTTTGTTTTTAAAAATGCCCTGTGAAGAATAATGGGAACTACAAAAACTTTCCACATGTTCCTTAGATCAAAATAAGCCGTTTCGAGTAAATTTATCTTAGTACAAAGTTGCTCAGTTTGGGCGCTAGACGGCCCTGAAGTTTTAAATCGTTTGTCCATTATAAATTTAATACGGCTTATGTGCTTCTGCTTAAATTTGGTGCGTTGACAGAGTTTTATGTGACAAAAAAAACTTATCATCAAAATTAATTAATTAATATTAGACGAAAAATTAGATTTTTTAATAATTGCACATTTTCTATGCCAAATAGAAATTTAAAATGAAATAAGTAGGATTTGAGTATTAAATTTGGATTGCTTAACTCATTTACTACAAAAAGGTACTCTTGACAAGACTCGATGAATCTCATGGTTTTGACAAAATTTGAATTTTAATAATTTGGAATGTAGATTTCAAAAAAAAAATATTTACTGAAATATGAATACAAATAACAAAGATTTCATAAAAACTGTTCACCATTTTCATGCATACAAAGATTTACATGACGAAGAAAATTGAAATGTACTCTTTGCATAACTTCTTCATCACCTCTAAGATTATTTGATGTATCTTGGATACGTTGCCAAAATTATTGTGCTTCATTATCTACAGGCGTCTTGTAAAACGTGCACTAGAGATGTTCTCATAAAAAATAATCCATCAGGGTTAAGTCTGGAGAACGTGGTGGCCAATCTACCTATCCATTTGTGTGGATTCTTTTTATTCAAGTAGTTTCGAGATTTTTCTAGGACTGAGTCCAATTAGAATGGTAGTAATCACGAGTACCAATTATTACTGAGTACTTTGAGTGCTCAAGTACAATTTTGAATACAATTAACTCGAGTACTCTCAGCTCTGATCACTCAGAACTATATAAACGCAGCAGCTTGTGGATCAAAAGACAAGGGGAGGGTCCAAAAAAAAAGATCGACCAAAAATCAGGTCAGATCTCAAAAATGATATTTGAATATTCAAGAATAAAATTTATAAAGAAATCATAGGAAATTTTATACACTGATTTCCTAGAAATCACCGACATCGTGTAAAACTAAGGGACATTTCGTCGAAATCAACGAAATCATACGAATTTCAGGTGTTTTCCGAAATACGGGTATGTTTTAACCTTTGTGGTTAACCCCTTGGATATAGCCGACTAAAAAGCGTTCCGAAATATTGGCCTTTTTTGGCGGACCGAATGTTATTTAACATAACCTCCATTTCCATTAGTCATTTTATTTTTTGTAAAAAGTAAGACGATGTAGTGCTTTTTTATGAAAAACAGTGAAACAAATACATTGGCGAGCAAAAAATTGAGGTCACGTCAGAAATTGCCAATAATTTTAGCTTCAATATTGATAAGGACATAATAGTATTAGTAGGCGTTGAAGAAATTGTTGTCCGAGACTTGACAGCTGTCATTCGATTTATTAGAATACGACTTTTATGAAAAATGTGCCTTTACGCTACAGTTCATCAAATTTCTAGAGGTGTTCGACGCCCAGACAGAGAACGCGCTACGTGTGACTAAGATAGCTATTGTACAGTCTGCTAAACAAGTTATTTTAAATAGTTTTTAATATTTTTAGGTAATTAAATTTTAAAAGTGTGGAATAGTTTAGGGATTAAATTGGTCTGATTGGACTTTCTTAGAACGTTTTTAAAAGCAGCTAAAGATAGTATGTAGAATTGAAAATAATTATTATGCCATAAAAGGTGTTTTGGAATTCCTTCAACCTTTTGAAATTGAGTCAGAAAATATAAATTTTATAGGATAGCGGAAAATACCTATAATTTTTTTGTAGGCCTTTCTTTGTAAATCGTGGAAATATATATTTTATTTCTACCTTATTAAGGAAAATGGTACCTATTATTAATAACGGTTGTTTCTGAAACATTACTAAAATTTTCGAAATTTTGTTTTTCTACAAAATAATAAACTATACTATTTAGAAAAAAATTTATTTCTCTTATAATTTTATAAAAAATAACAGGGGAATATTTACATTTCTTGATCTATTAAACAAAACGATAAATTATCTCGACGAATGACACCATGTTCTAGTACGGAAGCTAGCTTTACATTTTTGTTGGTGGTTTCATGGGTTTCATATCAATTTTTTGTAATTGTAGTTTACACGTACATATACCTAACACTTGTTTGCTTTATTAAAAAAGTGTGTTGTTGTGATTTACGTCGAAATAAGTCAAAAACAACTTGAAACCCCATATAAAATCAAAAAGGAGAAACGGAAAAAAATTGAGCCTGTAAATGAACACAACTCGGAAACAAAAATAGCTATCTAATAATAAAAAAATAAAATTTGATTCTTGTGCAGCTTCATCTATATCATTAACTGTTTTTGGTTTTTTAATGGTTTTTCTTGGTGATGAAAATTCCGATATCTCACGGTTATCGATTCTTTTCTTCTCTCCAGAAATGCGGACGACAGTGTTTTTAGATACTCCTGTGGCTGCAGCAACACGATCATTTACATTTTTAAATGGTATTGAAGGTGAATTAAAGTTTCCTTCTCTTCTCATAAACTCTATAACATTGGCTATTATTTCGCGAGATTGACTGTTAATCACGCGGCCTCTTAATTTGCTATTAAACTCCATACTTAGGTTCTATTAAACTGTAATGAGCAAAAAACACAAACGAAAATAAAAGAAATGTTTTAGCGAAATTTACATCTGACATTTATGTCTGAATGAAATAGTGAAATACTTGATGCGCAGAGTGTACTTTCATTGCGTAAATCCGTCGGGATGCCTGTCAGTAGTGCTTTCTCTGTCTAGCCGTCGAATGCCTCTAGAAATTTGATGAACTGTAATTGAACATTCATATTTCCCTTGCCTGTTTTCCAGTTTATTGTTGATTCTTTGTGTAAAACCTAACGATTGCAAAGTGTAGTGATTTAACAGGCCCATAATGCCTTTAGATCCGATTGTTGCGGCAAGAATTGTTGCGCTGTTACAAGATAGTCGGGGGCAACGTGAAACTGCAAGAATTGTTGGTGCTAGTCTTTGTGGTGTGCAAAGGGTGTACCAGCGCTTTCTGGAGACTGGCCTGATCACTAGAAGACCAGGGTCTGGGCGAAAAAGACGAGATAACCGTTTTTTGTGTCCACAAGTTTGCGGAATAGGACAGCTACTGCTGTTTCACTGAAAAATCAGTTGGAAGAAGTGAGAAATGTCAACTTTAGTGAATAGACCGTTAGAAGAAGACTTCATGCTGCTGGACTGTCATGCAGAAGAATGGCTACAGGTCCCCCGTTACAACGCCAGCATCGGACTGCAAGATTGACATTTGCCAGAGATCACGTTCGTTGGAATGATGATGACTGGAGCTGGGTATTGTTTTCAGATGAGTCGCGTTTTTGCCTCACTGGGTCAGATGGACGAGTGTGGAGAAGACCTGGGGAAAGATATGCTGAAGTTTGCATTGACGAGCGTCTTCCATTTGGCAGTGGGTCAGTTATGGTTTGGGTGGGAATCACTGCACAAGCTCGTACAGAGTTGGTCTTCATAGATTATGGCTCCCTAACCTCTCACAGGTACATTACGGAGGTGCTAAAAGACCATATTATGCCTTTCATGGTGACTATGGGGGAACGTGGCATTTTTATGCAAGATAATGTGAGACCACATACAGCCAGAATTGTCACTGAGTATCTGGATGAGGTAGAAATTAGGCGGTTTGACTGGCCAGCCCGCAGCCCAGACATGAATCCCATATAATATGTCTGGGACGAGTTGGGATGACGGATCCGCAGACACACAGCAGCACCAAGAACTGCCCAGGAGCTGAGAAGATTGCTGTTGCAGGAATGGGATAACATCGACCAGAATGTGATCCGCAACTTAATTCAAAGTATGCCGCGCCGACTTCAAGCAGTCATCAATGCAAGAGGAGGGAATACACGTTATTAGTGCCAAGTTTTTTCATTTTGTTCGTTCCATATTTTCCCTAACAACAAAATGTTGAATTTCGCCCAAAATGTAAATTTTTTGCTTTTTCAAATCATGAAATCCAAGAAAAAAATGCATTTCTCTTTAGTATAGATGTACAGTTTGCAAATACGATCTGAAAACGTAAAATTTCAAAGAACATGAAAATTTTAAGGTGACCTCAATTTTTTGCTCGCCAGTCTATGTATAGAAAAACTCATTAATCTACTCTAGGTATGATTATGCTTGCAGCGCAGATTCTAGATGTTCAAAGCTGGTGTCAATACTGGATAGAGGCTAGAAATTGTGCAAAGTTTAGAAGAATGAAGGTTAGGTTATGTCAAAATACGATTAAAATATATTATTACAAGTTAAATAATGTAGTCTATTGAATGTAGAAAACATTTATTGGGAGTTTGTATGTTTTATCTGCCATAATTTGTCCAAATAGTCCAATTAATGGCACTTCCGGTCCCCTTGTTGGCACATATTTGCACAATGTCAAATATATTAAATTCAGCCACTTGCGTATTCAGCAAAATGAGGCGAATCCACCAGTATAAAAAAACGCAATGGTTTGACTAATGCTAGTTTGAAGAAAGTGCTATTTCAAGTTACGTGCACCATTTTAGCCTTAAAAAGACAGTATAATACCTGCCGGGTACCTCTTTACCTATGTCAAATTTTGTAGTTTCGAATAATATGTAGCATACTAAAAGATTGTAAAATGAATTACAGCCATCTTTGCATATATTTTTTAATGTTTTGAATTCTGTTTTTTGAAATAACGTGTTCGCTTTCACGCGGGGGTGATTTAGGAACTTGGGACTAGTGTAATTGTTAATATATATGTGTCCCTCAATCTGTTAAAAATGCTTTGTATGTTTAATATACTACTTACCCGTTTTTATGTGCTTATAGCCTCCCAACATTGGCTTTTGTACAGCCTTATTCTCAATTTCCACCACGAATTCTTTATCATAATCACCATCATTAAATTGGACAGTAATAATATCTGGAACGATAATCGCATCCGGATAAGCCTTTCAAAATAAAAAAAGTCGTTTAAAAAAGTTATAAAATCAAAAAAATGGTTGAGCTACAGATTATAGCCACACGTACCTTCTGAATGTCGATGACGTATTTGCAAGGATCAGTAGTAGCTAATTTTAACTCCAACGTTTTGAATTCTTCGTCCTTGACCAAACTTTTGAGCATAGCTTCATCCTCTAAGACGACATCTTGATAACTTATGACTAAATGTTCGGCTGGGATACCAAATATTCCTTCTAGTTCGCTACGTATCTGCATTAGAAAAATAAGGAACGTTTTTGAAATGCATATACATATTAAAACTGGTTATTATTTGAACTCGAATGCACAAAAATATTTTTTAAATACCTAATAATAAAGGTAAGTTTTGAAAATCGACTTTTAAATATACGTACGCCTCTGCCATATTGAGGTAAGTAAAGACATTTCGGTAGGCGCGACAGACGACAACAGACGCGACCGAGAACGGTCTCTTCACATCTGAAGACCAGGGATGTTGCGATACTACTGATATGATACTGGTATCGATACTTTTCTTTCGACACCGGGTAATTTAGTACTCGATACTTTACTCATGGGTACTACTTTTGTTTCGATATTTGACTAGTTTTGACTTTATAATACAAACAAAAAGTATATTGTAGGATCACTTTATGGTATGGTATGTCGGCGTACTCTGACCTTTTTTTTTTGGTTGTTCTACACTCTTCCCGATATCGGTATCGATACTTTCGTTCCGATACCCTTTCGATGCCGGTATCGATACTTTGGTTCCGATACCCTTTTCGATATCAGTATCGATACTTTACTGGTATCGCAACATCCCTACTGAAGACATGCAATTATATGAAACACATTTAGCACGGCGCGACACTTCCGAGAGACATCTCGATGACACTTTGGATTGGTCTCCGGGCAAAGCGTTTTCTGCGTGTCGCACTCGAGGTCACTGTCCTCAGACATAGCTTGTATTTGGAGGTGATTAGTCGATATTTTATAGAATTGGTAGTTGGAAAGTTCTTTCAATCTAGGCAGTGTTGCCAGATGCTGGAACAGTATGGGTGAAAAAAAACCGTAGATCTGAAAAGTAGATTTTAACACAGGGGGAAATAATTATATTTTGCAGTGTAGTAAATAAAAAAAAAAACAAGTATATAAGAAACGAAAAATAAACATTTTTCTACCCAAATTAGAAAGTAAACAAAGATTAATAACAAATAATAACATTTTTAATATATACTTAACGTACGGAAACAAAAAAAAAACAATGAAAAATAATAGGTACCTACTTCAGTCTGAATTAGATAATTCAAAATCGTTGTGTTTGGCATGCATGTTCTTTTTATGATGCCCTATTAATTCTTTGTTTCATTTTAAATAAAAACATAATGATTATTCTGATGTTTTTTTTATGGAGCCAACCTACAGTAGTAGATTCTTATTACGCTGCTTTTACTGCAAAACTTTTACTAGAGAAAATATTCTTTAACCATTTGCTGAAGAATGAGGCAAACTTAATAAATTAACAACAAAATTTGCTAGATACAAAAACAGTGGATCTACTTAAAAACAGTAGGTCTGGCAAATCTGATCGTTCCCTCGAATGGTTTTCTGCGGGTGTCGCGCTACCTGTCTCCTTGCTTCCCAAATGTGGGAAGCGTAACATTAATGCATTTGTCGTCCTTGGAGTCGCCTCTGTGGTCTCCTGTCTCCTATCGCGCCTACCGAAAAGGTACCTTTAGTTAGAAATTATTTATTTAATTTAAATAGGTCATTGTGCTGAGTGTAATTCAATACCAACAGCTGTCTAGTGGGTCTGCTATTGACGATGTTGCCAATTCGTTTTGATTTTGATAGTCGTGTCAACATTTTTATTTTAAGATTAGGGTATTTTACTTAGAAAACGATATTTGATTAACAAATGCAGAACGTGTTTTATATTTTTCATGTTCGTTTAGAGTGACAAGCTTGTTATAATATTATGAGGTAATGTCACGTCATGTATTGGCGCTATTGTTTTTATACAAAATGTTATCGGGTAAATTTCTATGGTATTTATGTTCGTTTTTGGACGCAGCGAAACTTAGAATAATGGTTGAAAAAGGGGAATATTCCCCACATTATTATCGTTAGTTTCTGGACATTTTGTACTACTATCCGTTTTTATATGTACAGGTATTTAAAAACACCCAATATACAATTAGTTTTATCACATTATCAATCATGATGTGAAAAATAAACCAAGAATTATAAAGAAACAATTATTGTAACTTAGAAGAAACAAAAGATTGAGCAGAAGTTGGATAGTGCATTTTGAAAGAATCCAGGATAATAGAGAAATAAAAAATATGTCCAAAAAGACCTATAGGGAAGAAACTTAAAAACAAAATTTTACTATACTATATTTACAAAATAGTAGGCACGAAATTTTCAGAAATGGTTGTGACGTGTTTGCGTTAATCTGTCTCTTCCAGTGGCGCACGGAAAATATGGTTTATGCTAGTCTACTTTTTTGTTCGACTTGAAAATCGGCAGAGTATTATTAATAATCAGAGGATTATGTAATAAATAAATAAACTGAGGAAATGTCGGGGAGTCACAATCGGTATGGCCGCTATTTCGAAACAAACAAAATTACATTATTATATTATTATTATTCATTATCGTCTGAAGAAAATTCGTCGGATGACGAACGGCTATAATCGCCTTGCTATTATTCAAGTTGATAATCAGTTGAACCATACTGCAACGTCCATTCTAGTGTCGAGATCCCACATTTTGCCTTCTTTTATCGTGTGACTCAGGCGTGACACTTTGTATCACAGAATTCTAGCTGGCCTTTTACCTTGTCCATTGTAAAAGTAAAGTTTTCTTTCGCCACTTGGTTTTTTTGAGTCGTTTTTCTTGGACTCGAAGAGTAACAAGCCGTTTTCACGAATCGCTGCCTATAATGTATTATTATGAGTCTCCGTCTTTTGCCAGCTGGCGCTTTTGATCCTGTTGACAGGTCTTTAATAAAAGCTTGTCGACGGCTTTTTATTTCTAAATCTTGCCAGACCTTTGAGGCAGTATGGGCGTGATTCAGCCAAGTCTCACCTAAATAATACATTTTTCTCCCTTCACGACGATACTCTTGGATTTTCATAACTTTCTCCGCCACAAGAAAATTTCTTCTCTTTTTATATGAACACTTTTCCTACCATTTTTCATAAATTTAATGTTGATTTGCTTTAATGTTCGCAATAAAACACGTCGTGATATTTTGGGCATCGAATCATCGGCTGCGACTCTTTTTAAGGCTGGGATTTAATTTCGGAAAAAGAACGAATGGAATTTCCTTCGAATAATATAATTGGAGTGATTATCAAACTGAGTTTGTTTTCTTCCTCGGGTTTCAATGTCTGTAGAGACATTAGATTTACCTTCATTTTCTTTGAAAGTTTTAAGAATTCTCGTCGACACTTTAGTTAAATCACTACACAGATTAACTACCGAATTTTTATTACAAAGTACAATTACTCCGTATATTTTGCTGCAATTACAATTCCAAATTTCTTTCCATTTTATTACTTTTATTGAGTTTGTCACACAAAGCACCAAACAGTATAATTTTACTTAGTACACAAAGTTTTAGTTTATCAGTTTTTATCCCATTGTCAGTCAATATAAATTATCTACTTAACAACAAAGAATGTCGAAAAATACAGCAACTAACTAATTCACTGGTATAATTTCACTTTTCGAATAACACTTACTAATAATATTAGTGCAGTCATTTGCATTATGAAACAAAAATTACTATATTATTACTTTTTTACCAATAATATTAGTATCATTATGAAACGGGCCTCTGGTTAAAGTAATTAAAAAATAAATTAATCAAATTCCAATAAATTACCGGGATTATCTCACAGAATACCAAGAACAGCTTTACGCTACAGCCATGAATCTTTTCCTAACCTGGGGCACCGCTCGGGCCAGTATGTATATATCTCTCTCTGCCCTACGGAAACTTTTAAGACGCCGAGCTAACGTTTTAGGACGTCGCATCAGCGATGAACTGTAACAGCTCGCTGACAGAAGTTGTGAAGATTTTATTGGAGAGCTCGACCCCCAAAAGCCTGGTTTATGGAAACTACAGAAAATACTAAGAGATGACAAAAAATCAGTACCCATCTTGCATGGAGCAAACGGACTGGCAAATACCGCAGAGGAAAAAGCCGATGCATTCGCTACTTCCCTGGAGTCCCAATGTTTGAACAACGAATATGAGGACGAAGACCTAGACTTCTCGGAAGAAGTGGAAGACGACTATGAAAATGAACCCGATATAGGATACCTTGAGCCCTCATCTCCGGACGAGGTGAGAGGCATCATCAAACACCTATCTGCCAAAAAAGCCCTCGGTAGGGACATAATCTCCATCCGAGCGATTAAGCACCTCCCGCTGAAAGCCACAGTCTACCTCATAGCCATCATCAACGGGATTTTAAGAACTCAGTACTTCCCTAGACTGTGGAAACAAGCAGAGGTGCTTATGATACGGAAACCAAACAAGGACCCCAAATTCCCGCAAAATTACAGGCCCATTAGCTTGCTCCCAGCTATGAGTAATATTGCGGAGATAGTTATCCTAAGAAACCAAAAACCTGAATATACTACCTGACAAAAAATTCGGATTCAGAGAGGAACACGCAACCGAATTGCAAGTCCTGAGTCTCGTCGAAGGGATCACCAGAGGATTCAACATAAATCAGTCCACAGGAACCATATTCTTGGATGTCGAAAAGGGATTCGATATAGTATGGCACGTTGGGCTGATTTTTAAGATGAAAGACCAAGGGTATACAGCAGACATGACAAGGTTGCTCAGGTCGTACCTCGACGGAAGGCAATTTCGGGTCAAGATGGGACAAGTCCTATCTAGACCAGGATTTCCGGAAGCGGGAATACATCAAAGAGCGGTATTGTCACCACTGCTGTATTCCATTTACACAGCGGACATCCCCAAAACTCAACATACTACCATGAACCATCCCATGAACCGACTCAGCCAGGTACCTAGGAGTTATGGACCAAAAACTCACCTTCACCAAGCACGTGGACATGGTAGTAGAGAAGACGAAACAGGTAAGATCAAGACTAAACTGTCTAATAGGACGTACAAGCAAACTCCTACTACAGACAAAAATGAGGCTCATTCAGGCAGTAATTATGCCTATACTGATGGACGCCTCGACGGTGTGGGGTTACACCTGTAAATCAAACAGGAAGAGGATACAAGCTCAACAGAACATCAGCCTGAGATGGGCCTCAAACGCATACAGATATACCAGAAACGACGTAATTATGAGGGATCTAGAATCCAAAAGGGTCCTAGACCTTATTCACAAGAAGGCCACTGACACCATCGAAAAACTAAGGATACACCCAAATATGGAACTACGTGAATTAACAGAGTACGAGAGAGCGGATTATAGGAGACACGCCAGATCACGCAATGTGCTGGAATATGGCGGCGAGTGACCGAACCAGGGATGGTGTAAAAATTCAAGACGCTCATAGAATATAAGATTTCTCTTTCAGCATTCTTTTTCAGCATTCTCTTACAGAATACGCTTACAGAATACAACACGTGATTTAGACAAGGACTGAGCAACAGACGACAACCCACGTGGAGGAGAAGGTCCTCCTAGTCGCCAATGGAGACTGGGAGAGCTTTCACAGGTGGCGAACTCTCACAGAAAATGCCCTCAGCAAACCCTGTCTAAATGATGATAATATGTCATCCTTCACAGCCCTTTAAGAAGGAATGGCATACTAATCAGATGGATTGAACTTGAGGCCCCCTGAGTGAAGTTGTCGGAGGGGGGTCGGAGTCAGGAGGGTTTCGATCCAGTAAAACAGGATGGGAACCTACCCGACTTGGGCTCAAGTAAGGGGGTGTGTGGGGGCAACTTTAATCTGTTGTTCTCGTCAGCGCCTCATAAACTATGCAACGTTGTCATTTAAGTTTTAGACACGGAATATCATTCAATTTTTTATATTCTTTTAATAAACATTGATGTTGCTGAATACATTTCATTAACAGGAAAATACTTTAACGAATAAAACACGTTGTCCGTTATTCTTTGGCTATGTATAGGCACGTAAATGTTTAAAATAGAAAATGCTAAAATATCTAGAATCACAACCTGAGAACAATGTTTTCATTTTAAGGTAATAATATTTTTAAGAATTTAGTGCCTACTATTTTTGAACTGAACTTTGTAGGTACTAATAACCCTATAACGATTTTGAAGAATCTGTCATATCTAGTTTTCTTAGAAAGCAATTCTTGATTTAGTCGTACAGACATAAAATCCCTAAAAGTTTGTTTACTTTTGCCCGGCAATATTTTGGACACCCTGTAGAATTTACGATTGTCGATTCACTAGATGATTGACAAATAATGAAAGCACTAAGCATTTTACATAAATGTCAGTAATTCTTGTAAAAAGGTATCGAAGATATAGAATTTATAAAAAGAAACGTTTTTAAACATGAACCATTAATACAGGGGGACTGATTGATAGTGGTAAGTTCATTTGAAACTACTAGCTATTATTTTTTTACAAAGTACATTTAGATATATAAAAAATAGGAATCAAATAATCGACAGATTAAATTATAAAACTTTTATTCATTTGGAAATTTGCAGATTTGACTTTGAAAGAACTCGTTTTTAATACTTACTTGCTTGGCAATTCTCCGTACAGGAAAAGTTCTTGTAAAAACTCTTGCATTCGATGTATAAAATTTCACAACGACCGGTTCATCCATATTGTAGTCGAACGGGGACAAAGTCAGGTGGATCTCGTCCGGGGGCCATATTTTTTTCTTGCACTCGCAATTGCATTCGCATGTCCTTATGCATTTGCAGCCACATCGTCGGCACTGCATCTTTTATTTTTTTTGGTTTACCGAAAGGCAAAAAAATTAAACGTCACTTTTTTGACAATAAACGTGTGAACTAAAGAAAGCGCTAGTGGTGATCCGTGATACGTGAAATATTATATGTTTATGTAACTAAGCAACCAGTAGATGGCGTATTGATTAATAAAACATACAGGTCGAGTTTTATAGTGAATTTTGGGAGGTGGTGGCTCTTTGGTTAGAGCCAGCGCCAATATTTTTTTAATTAGGTAATAATATTTCTTTATATCATATGTAATAATTAATTCCACTGTCTATTGTTAGCTCAGCCACTGGTAAAATACAGTTTATAAAATTGTGATTTCACACACGCAAAAAGGGTAAAAAACACCGTTAGTAAAATGTTATAGTTCAACTCAAAGATATTTTTCCTAGTGTCACGATAAAATTTCAGAACATCAGTTTTCGTTGCACTTTGATCTCGCCGAAATTGTGAAACTCATATTCTTGAGTTCTATTTTACACGTTGGACAATAAAACATACAGTCATGATTTGACACATCGTGGTTAAAACAGCAGCGTGGTTATTTTCTAGGCTTACTAAGCAATTGTATATTGCTTTTCGTTTTCTTTTTTTAAAATCAATAATATACATTATTATTGAAAGTTTATATCAAAGTAGGCCAGGTTGACTTATAAAAATAGAATTTGGTTAAACTTACAACATAGTAATAATGTTGTTTTGGTCCTTATTTTCCAGTCTAGACCAGCACAAAATAATTAAAATACAATAAGCGACAAAATAACCCATTTTTTGAAAACTGAATAATTTTAATAACATAAACACACTGTAAGTCGTTGAGAATAAATAATTAATAATGATGTTCTAATCGTGGTTCGAATTGTCAATGAAATAATGCATATGCAACTAACAATACAAGAAAGTAATATTGGTTGCCTAAATGTCAGTAATGATTAACCAAAACACAATTTTAGACAAAATTAGAAAAAATATTGTATATAACACGTTACGAAATGTAACTCGTTCATGTTGCTGGACCTGGTGGTCCCGCAATTATTCACTCGTTACATAAAATAAGATATTTCGCAACTGGTTTCATAAATAGCTATTTCGAAACCAGTTTCATAATTTTCAATTTCATGCAACTGGTTGCGTAAAGTAGATAATTTTGACACTTGCTACGATTACAAAAAATGTCACTTTTTATGTCAAAATTAGAAGAATGGGTTTTAAAACAAATTTCCAGCCTTTGAATATATTAAAAAAAAATTACCTACAATTTTACTTCAAGGCATAATCTTTTTGAAGAACATGGCTGATCATTCTATATAACTCTCCGCGGAGATATAACTATCTATATCATTGACCTTGTTAAATCAACAGGCACACAGGATTGCCATGTTATAACCTACAGCCTACAGGCAACCATTTTGTTTAGAATGCCTAATAATAAAATACAGCTCCTCTTTATTGGAAATAATTGATTGCAGGGGCGGCTCGTGACCAAAATTTTGGGGGTTTACAGTAGCAGAATATAGATCCCGGTACAGATATAGATAAAAAACTGTCAGTGTTTTAGAAAGGTATATCATAAACTTCCTAAAACACTGAAAGTTTTTTCATACATCTGTACTGATACCTATATTTTGTCACTATGAACCACCCCACGAGCCACCACTGATTGATTGTTAAACATTTTTTATGTGAACTTTTATATATAAGTTACATCTAATCGACTTAATGCACCTTACTTCTATTAAATTATTAAACTATACCTACCTGTTGTTTCAAATATTCTAATATATTTTTTGGAGTTTTATTAGTTAAAAAACTAATATTTATGTTAAATACAGTATTTTAATATAAATATTAGTTTTTTAAAGTAATGAATGCCAAAAAATGTAAATAAATAATAAAGGACATTTGAATAAGCCGCGTTTAGATTTGACACTCTTCTTTTTAATTTTCTTCTTTTATGCTGACTCTAACTGTCAAGTCAATCAACCAATTGGTTAGCGTACGATGGTGGCGCCAAATAGTATGGCCGGAACTAACCATTTGTTACCAGTGCCGTGCATTTAAACGGTTTCATTTAATATTAATTTATCTATGCGCAGGGCCGGATGCTCTTGTGTTCAGTTTTCGTCTGCCACGCACATGACGTCACTCACATAGTGATAGAGTAATTTTCATTTGCACTTCAAAATAAGGACTGCCCACGATGCGCAACATCCTATGGGCCGAATGCTATGACGTCACTCATAGAGTGATTTTCATTTGCACGTCGAAATAAGGACCGCCCACGATGCGCAACATCCTATCTTTAGATGGGTATACCGTGGTACAGCGGTTATAGCTGTTACCGCGGTTATCTTTTTCATTGAAATGATGACATTCGGATTTATATTTTTGAGTTTTACTTTAGTAGAATAGTATTAGATTTGTTACAATATTAATAACAACGGCAGCATGTTTTAAAATATACCCCAGAGGGCATAACGTTTAGCTTGAATCGCCAATTGCTTGCCCCCTAACCAAAACAATGCTCATCTACATGCTGCTTCTAGTAAGATACGTATGCTCGAAGAACTTTTCTAGATTAGCTGCTATGCTCTGAGCGGAAAGAATTGACCCATCCTAAATTTATTTATTTATTTATCATAGAATTTACAAATTAGAAATTACAAATAATATTCTCTACACTTATACACATTTTAGAAATTCAAAACAAGTAATTACAACTAAAAAACACTTAGAAAAACTTATAGAAGTAAGGCACATAGCCTAAATGTATAATGCATAAGGTATTTAATAAAATAATAAAGAGTGTGCACCTAAGTGATTGAACACTTGTGCAACTCTAAGGATTTAACAAACTTGCTTAGTAATAGTTAATATTAAAAAAAACTTGTACGAGCATAAAATATATCATTTTTTTTTACTTCATATTTTTTATTTGTTTTTATTTTTTTATCGTAAAATTTTTGCGAACTCAATATAATTTTAAAAATAATTTTTTTTGTTACACTTGGAAAACGTTTAAATTTAGTGATAAGCCTAATCTCTAGTGGTAGGAGATTGCATGCTTTGGGCAAAGTATGAATAAAGAATCTATGACATATTTTTCTGAAATCTTTGGGTTGGCAGTAAATTATTTTTTATGATATTTGCATATGAGATGAGAAGTGTGTTAATATTACCATTTTTATTGCCCATTAAGAGTTTTTATACGATTATAATATGGTACCAAATTTCGCGGACTTGGCTCTAAAGCGTCACACTTCCGTTTGTTACCTAACAATTCAGTGTTATCTTTTAACTTTCTAGTACTCACGCCTCTAGTCTCATAAATAGTTTTTGTATTTAAAATTATCGACCAGAAGTCAGAAAGCAGTTTACGCTTTATAAAATAAATACTGTAAAGGGAGCTTTCAAGTTTTTATTGTTGACAAAGGGAGAAGGGGAATATTATAAATCTAACGTGTAATAAAACAATCACAAAATCATGGAAAGGTTTTTGTATTTAAATAATTATACTATTTTGACGTTAATAATCCAACCGAATTTAAGTCTGACTTGTGAAGATAAGCTCTCAATTATTGTTAATTATGTAGAAACTTCATCCCCTTATAAAGCTTGATTTTTCCTGACGATTTCAATTTGATATCTTTTTTATTTCTGAGTTAGGATTTTCTCAATATTTCAACCCTTCTTATCCTATTTTTATTCAGATTTTTTTTTTAGAGCTTGATTTTTACTAAAAATTTCATGTTGATATCGCTTTTGGTGTTTGATTTCTATCTTTTTTTATTTCCACACCTCCCCCCCCCCCCCTTAACCCCCATTTTGTTCACATTTTTTTTTTAAATCAGTAGGCTTTGTCCCCCTTATAACGCTTGATTTTTGCTAAAAATTTCGAGTGGATATTGTTCGTTTTTTAGTTAGGATTTTTTTAAATATTTCAACCTCTCTTAGTTTTATTCAGATTTTTTTTCAGAATCAATAGGGTTCATTCCTTTATAGAGCTTGATTTTTACTAAAAATTTCATGTTGATATCGCTTTTCATTTATGATTTTTTTTTTTTTAATATTTTAACCCCCTCAACCCCCTATTTTAATTCAGATTTCGAGGATCAATAGGCTTCATCTTCTTATAAGAGCTTGATTTTTATTAAAAATTTCATGTTGAGGCTTTTCGTTTTTGTTTTACGATGTTTTTTTTTTAATTTCAACCCCCATTTTTAATCAGATTTTTCAAAATCAATTGGCTTCGTCCCCTTAGAGAGCTTGATTTTTGCTTAAAATTTCAAGTTGATATTATTGTTCGTTTTTGAGTTAGTATTTTTTTAAATATTTCAACCCCCTTAGGGGGCGTCCAGTAATTACGCGAGGTGTTTAAAGGGGGGAGGGGATGAAGCTAAATCTTTCTAAATCTCACTTGGGTGAGAGGGCGAGTCTTTGTAAATCTGACGTAATTTTTTTTTGTAGAAAACAGTGTAAAATTGCTTGAGGAAAATCTTACGAAATCTCACCAGGGGAGAGGGGGGTCAAAAAATCCTTAAAAATACCTCACATAATTAAACCCTATTTTTTTTAAATAAATAGCCATCATTTATAAAGCCTAATTTTTCTTGAAGATTTCAATTTAATATCGTTTACGATTTTTTTTTTCAAGATTTCAACCCCCTTTATCCCTCCATTTTTGTCAAGTTTTTTTTTTTTAGAATCAATAGGCTTCATTTCCGCTTGATTTTTACTAAAAATTTCATGTTTATATCGCTTTTCTATTTTGATTTATAATTTTATTTTAATTTCAACCCGCCTTACACTCCCCATGTTTATTCAGATTTTATTCAAAATCAAAGGGCCTTTTCCCCTTGTAGAGCTTCATTTTTGCTAAAAATTTCAAGTTTTTCGTTTTTTATATTGCAACCCCCCATTTTAATTAATTTTTTTCGGAATCAATAAGCTTCATCTTATAGAGCTTGATTTTTACTAAAAATTTCATATTGATCATTTTTTGTTTTTGAGTTAGGATTTATTTTAAAATTTCTACCCCCCCCCCCCTTTATAAAACGAATTTATGGCATCTATTCCTTTTTTAGCATATTTTTTTTA